ATGAATCCTGTCTCCATGCAGTTTAATTTTGGAAGATCGAAAAATCCATTTTATGACTTCCTTTGTCATGTCTAGATTGGCTTATGAGCATGATTAATTGGTTTGGATTAATGCCAGGTGTTTTTTTACAGGTTGGAGGAGTTATACAACTGCAAATCTATAGGATTCCTTAAGATAAGGACACATAAAATTGTTTTAGCCTTGGTGGTGCAGTGGTTACAATGCAGTACGAGTTTGAGTCTCACTAGTCTCAAGGTTGACTCAATCTTCCATCCTTCTGTGATCAATAAAATGAGGACCCAGATTTTTGGGGCAAGATGCTGACTCTGTAAAATTAGAGAAGGCTGTGAAGCACTGTGAAGTGTTATATAAGTCTAAGTGCTATTGTTATTGCTATTTACCTTGGCCTGGTTCCCACAAACTATGTACTATGGTTTGTTTCATTGGGGCTTAGCCATCACTTAGTATGTTGTGAGAAACCATCTGATCCTATCATGGTCCACAGATTGTAGTTACAAAAACATGGTTTAAGCACCACAAATGCAAAAACTGTGAAACCCAACCTCTGAATTGGATCATTGTCTATTTTGACTGACAGTAGTTCTCCATGATTTCATATAGGGATTGGATAGTGGATATTAAGATTTGGACCTTCTGCATGCAAATAATGTGCTATTCCTCTGAACTAGCATTCTGCTTTTAATTATAGTTTATACTAAGTAAAACATTTGCCAGTTCTTCTGCTCCGTTCAACAACTACTTGAGTCACTTGTGACACAGTAATTATCCATTTATATCTCTGCTATATTCCATCTCAATCAAACTTCTGAGTCATGCTTTACAGTGCTATGATTTCTGCATAGCTATAGGAAACAGCAAGTACTTGTGTAATCTTTGGACCCCATTTCTTCCAACTAATTTTCTTTTTCTTAAAAAAAAAATACCAAAGTTCTATTTTAGTTTTCTTCAATCAGGTAGTAAGGTACCGTATTCTTTGGAGTATAAGTCACACTGGAGTATAAGACACACCAAGATTTTAAAGAGGCAAATTTTAAAAAAAGTTTCTCCATTCTGCAGACCTCCCAAAAAAGGCATGAATAGTCTTTAGGAGGTTTGTAGAGTGCTGGGGTGGGGGAATGAGCAAAAATGGCCAATTTTTCGCTCATTTCTGCCTTCCTCAGCCCCCAGGAGCACTCTATAAGCCTCCTAAAGGCTCTGCACGCCCATTTTGGTGATGGGAAGAGCTTCAAGAGGCAAAAAATGCTGTATTCAGTGAATAAGATACACCCCGATTATCAGCCTCTTTTTTGAGAGAAAAAGGTGTGTCTTATACTCCGAAAAATACGGTAGTTCAAATTAAAAGTTTTGGATTTGACCGTGCAATGTCCAGATTCAAGTCTCCACTTGAATATAGAGTTCGTTCAGTAATTTTGAGTCAGTTACTGCCTCTTAGTTCAGCTTAAATGAGAGAATAACACAAGGGGAGACACTTTCCCCTTCTTGAGGAAAGGCATCCTATAAAAGCAATAAATAAACTCCCAGAATTTCTAATCAGTATATTTGATGGTACTTTTAACCTCCCCTTCATTTATCCCCTTCCAAAGATAATTTTTGGACAGTGATAACCAACCTGATAACCTCTGCTTGTTTCCCAAATATTCTTTGCCATCAGCTACCCTGGCTGGGACGGAGGAGTTCCAAAACATCTGGAAGGCATTAGGTTGTGTTAGACAGTATGTTTTAAATAGTTTCTTTAAAATGGAAACTGAGTCCTTTATGATCACACCGATTCCTGCTTAGAGCTTTCAACTCACTGCCTGCAAACGCACCGCTTGAAATTTAGAAGGGAAAATCAATGCTAACTTTTAAAAAAGCTGTAAATAAACTCTTAAGCACTAAATGCAAGTTCGTCTCATTCTGTTTTAGGGAAGCAGGTAATTGGTCTCCTAGCAGAATAGCTCTGGTGTGAATGCCAAGACGAATAGGGTAATGTCTGAGTTTTTGTGTTCCAGACCAGACATAACCAGATCTCTATTTAATCGTTGCTTTACCAGTTCTGAATGGATGGGATGTTTCATGGTGCCAAATGACACACTCTGTCTCCCTTGCTCTGTTTTTTAATAGAAACTAAATGGGTTTCTGGAACAAAATTGAAGTTTCTTCCCTCCCCTCCCCTCATGCATCATTTTTGTTTATGGAACAACTTTTGGGTTTGCTCATGTTTTCTTTCATCTGGCTGGTTGGGTTGTTTTGCTTTTTTTGTTTTGTTTTGTTTCTTTGCATTGGGATGCGTTAAAACTTCTTGTGAGTCAATTTTACTGGTCAGTTTTGTTAAAAAGTAAATATTGCATAAGTGAAAGTTAAAGGGTAAATGTTTTATTAACAAAGGAAGGGCTAAATTTTTGTGCGCTAAGAATGAGATAGCAGCATTGTCCTGTCATAATTGTGAGGATACAGGCATCAGTAACAACCAGTCATAATGGGCCTATAGTATTTGGTAAAGATGTAAAAATTTGGGGGAAAATAAAAAAGATCAGTGAAAAAAAGTAATAATGAAGAGGGAAAAAGAGATCTAATTCAAACAGCTGTGATGGCGAACCTATGGCACACGCAAAGCCATATCGCCCGGCATACCATGCCTGTTTGTCTTCTGGGTTTCTGGCGTGTATGCATGCACGATGATCAGCTGTCCTTCGTGTGCACAGCAGTGTGTTCATGCATGCCAGCAGCTGATTGTGGGGTGCGCCTGCGTGCCACAACCCAGAATTTTGGCTTGAGTGGGATACCTCCGCGCACCTGATAGTGCCAAAAACTGGCCTGCCCATGTGCCGGCCAGCTGTTTGGCAGGTGTGCATGTGTGCTAGAACCCAGAAGTTTTGCTTTTCCAGAGTGAGGCTCCGATGAACGCACGTGCGATATTTCCACGTGACATTTTTGGCACTTGGTGCCGAAAAGGTTTGCCATCACTGTTATACCGGTAATCCTTGCCTTGCAACCAGTCATTTAATGATAATTTGCAATTAACAGTGGCTTGGAAAGGTTTATATGGCCCATAAAGCATTTCCAGCCATTGAAAAAATATCGTACCACCACTCCATCATCAAGTTATTTCAGATGCTTGCAGGCCTGTGGTTGCGAAGTGCCCTGTGATTGCCATTTGTGATCTTCTCTGCTGGCTTCCCCAGAAAGGCAGTGGGGAAGCCAACACTGAAGGTTGCAAGCAGAGTGGGGGCCAAGGGGAGCTCCCCACCCAGCCATCTGCAGGAGACCTCAGCTGGCTTTAGGGCCAACCAGTGAGCGTTAAGCTGCCACAATCCTGGATATCTTAGGCCTGTTCACCGCCCAGCCCCTCAGCTAGCTCCAGGGTCTACTGGCACTCAACCTTCTGCAGCCAATTTGAATACGGCCTTTCTAGAGAGGCCTCCTTGTGCCATTCTGAAATAGATAGTATTTTTGTGATCCTTTAAAGGGAGCCTCCTAAAGAACTCCAGTACAGGGGAGTAGGTTTGCTGTCTATTTGATAGCTATGCATGAGAGAGAATATTGATAGGAATGGTTAGTTATGAAAGAGTGAGGAATGCATATCTTCTAAAATGAAAGGATTAAGAGCAGACAGGGTTCCTTTGCCTGTAGTTACTTATGTGCACGTGTGCGGCATGTATTTGCAGGACTTGTTTAGATGTCAACATCTTAATCATAGTTTGTTCAATCCAGTTTTGCATAAACTGATCCAATAGGCTATGTGAGTACAATGCATTAGGTAATAATATGATTGGCCTGATTGTTATTCAGATTAATATGCCATCACAACCAATATAGAGTCGCTTTTGGTGAGATGAACAGCTATATTAGTTTAATAAATAGAGAAACAACTATATGAAGTCACATGTATTTGTACAATTAAGAAAATACAGGTAGTCCTTTACATATGACCATTCCTTTCATGATGATTCAAAGTTAAGAGCCAAGGTGGCGCAGTGGTTAAATGCAGCACTGCAGGCTACTGCTAGATCAGCAGTTCAGCGGTTCAAATCTCACCGGCTCAGGGTTGACTCAGCCTTCCATCCTTCCGAGGTGGGTAAAATGAGGACCCAGATTGTTGGGGGCAATATGCTGACTCTCTGTAAACCGCTTAGAGAGGGCTGAAAGCCCTATGAAGCGGTATATAAGTCTACTGCTATTGCTATTGCTATTATGACTGCTTGAAAGGAGTGACTGACTTATAACCTGTACTCGTACTTAACACAATATTTCTCTGTCTGTTTGTCTGTCTGTCTCTCTGTGACACACACACACACACACACACACACACACACACAATTGAAATTGCTGTTTTTGGCAACCAGCTTTCATTTACAAATGGTTGCAGCGTCTTGTGGTCATGGGATTCCAATTGGCGGTCTTTTTTGTTGATTTCCTGCAAAAATCCATTCATTGGGGGAGCTGGATTGCTTAACAATTACATTGATTTTCTTAGTGACTGCTGTAAAAATTGCAATACAACTTGGTCCAACTCGACTTATAGCCAAAATGACTTAACAACAGAAATTCTGGTTCCAATTATTGATGCTAAGTCAAGGACTACCTGTACATGCTTGTCTATTTGGTTCTGAGTGTTCTCATTATTCTTCATGGCAAAGAATTCCTTGAAGCAAACAAAGTACTACTTCTTTAACTTGATGCTTATTTATTCTCACTGATGTAATCAAAACCGAAAGCTCTCCTGTGTAGAATATATAACCTTGAGAAGTTTAGAAACAAGTTACTTACCCTCTTAAGAATGCCATATCCTATGATCCCCTCCTGTCTCATTTTCATTGCTTTTTCTCTCAATGATGTTATATTATTCCATATCCCTGACAAACTTCAGCTTTGTTGAAATACATTTTTTACCAAGCATTTTTTTTTTTATGAGAAAAGAAAAAGGTGGGAAATATTTAAAAGGGATTTGGGGGAAAAGTACCAGAAGGGAAAAAAAAATGACCCTATTATTTCTTCAGTAGAAGACTCAATCAAAGCGAAACCTCCCAATTCCCCGCGTGCGGAGTGGGTGATGCATCCTAGACCTACACCGCCCAAAGGGAGAGACCCGAACGCTTGGAACCGGCTGAAGGACCAGTCTTTTGGTAGGAGAAAAACCCAATTTTTTTTTTCCACAGATGGCCAGTTATTGTCAAAAGAGTGGGATGGCTGCCAATTGTATTCTCTTTCTGTCTCTCGTTGCCTCTCACTTTGGTGGTAGATGACCCATGGTCCACAAGGCTGCCTTTCTGTGTTGCTCTTTTGGTGAGGGGGGCGTCTTACTTAACTTTGCTGCATGCCGGAGTGGTGGTGGTGGGGATATTTGAGAATGACATTGTCTGTTACTCTTCCCAATTGCTTGGTGGTTTTACAGGACGATAGCCCTGATTCTTCTCCCCCCCCCCCTTGTGTGAGCTGATTACTATAGGATTCTATTCGGCATCAGCTTCCTAGTGAATGCATGATTTAAACAACAGTCTTGATTTAGGATAGGGACCATGTTGAACTGCAAAGACAATAAATTAAACAAAAAAAAAACCCACAGGCTTAACTCGCAGGCATCTGGTTGCTTTCCTAACTCACAGAAATGATCCCATGGAATAAGACTTAAAAGGTGATACAAGATGGGCTGGTTGCCAAAATGTGGGTGATCACTAGAAAGCCACAAAAAAAGCAGTCTGTTTCTTTGATGCCCTTTTAAAATGTGTTAAATTTAAGATCACCACACTCTAGAATGCCTCTGAGTAGGTTTACATTCTAAACTAGCTAATAACTCGGCGTTGCCCGGGTATTTATTTATAGGGGGAAAATGTCAGCTCCAAACATAATTTCTAATGTTGGATTTTCCCCCTTACCAGAGGGAGCTTCCTTGTGGAGGACTGTGATGCCGTTATCATGGCAACTGCACTGTGCTGTACAATAGAAGCCAGTGCGGCAGTACGACACAACAGGGTGTATCTTAACAGAACACCTCCCCCCAAAGGGTGTTAGGGGTGTCTTACCCCCACAATATTTTTCTCCAAGAGTAAGTCATCTGTGTACCAAGTTTGGTTGAAATTAGTCGAGGTGTTCCACAGTTATGCTGAAACATACACAAACAGAGCTGTTTTTATATGTATA